CGCGGCAGCCGCCTGTTGTTCAACAGCCTCACTCTGAACAGTCCCACCCATGGCCGCAGCCAGGGGCCCCTGAGCTGCAGCCAGCATCCGTCAGGGAAATCAATTATTTGGCATCTTTCTGTAACACTGCAAGGGAGAGTCTTCCAGGCGCTGTGGCCCGTGCTGATGTATGCTCCGGTGGTGCCACAGTTGTGCTCAAAAGGGGATGAGAGCAGCCACCTGCTGACAGAGCCATGCGCCGGGAACGGAGAAGCACAGCCATGCTGATGGCAGTGTGGGGAGGAGGCAGGACACTGGGGAGCTGCCGGACAGGGGCTCTGGTGCACTGCACTGGAGCTGGTCTTCGGGCCATGCAGGGCCCAGGTTACACACAGGGAGCACAGTGTAATGTTGGACCCAGCTGAGGGCCGGGGCTGTCCTCAGGGCTGTCCATACTGTCACCGCAGCCCTGGGAGAGCCAGCCCAGGATTCAGCCCTGCACTGGGAGGGCTGCAGCCAGCCCCCAGGACCAAACTGGTGGGAGCCACAGCAGTGAAAGGAGAGCAAAGGGGTTCCCCCCTCAGGCCTAGCTTAGTACCACCATGTTAGCATGTGACAGCAGCCAGGAGGGCTGTGACAGCAGCCAGCAGGGCTGTGCCTGTCCTGGCCACCTGCACCACCCCTGAGAGAGGGTCCCCAGGCAGCTCACACCAGCCAGAGGCTCCCAGCCACCTGCCAGCGCCCAGCCCAGAGCAGGGGGCCAGGAGGGGACCACAGCCTCCAGTCTGGTGCTTCAAACTCATTTCATGGGGAGACCTCAAGTCAGATCCCCCCCAACAGCACCCCAGTCAGCTGAGTACAACCAAGCCTCCAGCTCAGGGTCCAGACCTTGCAGCAGCCAGAAATTCTCTATGGCGAAACCCAGAGAAGCTCCTGCTCTGGAAGTCCTTAAAATTACCTGAGCACTGGCCACATCCCAGATCCTCCAGCTTTGCAGCACAGCAGCCAGCTCAGCCCAGGCGCTACAGCCCCCACATGCCCGCCTGGGGTGTTTCTCATAGCACAGAAATGCTCCCTTACCCATCAGAAATGGCTCCGTTGCTAGTGGAGGGGCTGACCCAGGTTCCCCAGTGCCAGGACACTGGTTCCTCACTGCGTTTTTCTGGGAGGAGAAGGGCCCAGGGCTGCCAGGCACTGTCCCACCACCCAGCCCCAGGACTTGCCCCAGACCCTCTTGCTCTGTTGTTACTTTTTAAGGACTCCAAACCCTAGGCACAGGTTGTGCCAGTTTCAGGCACCAAGTGGCATCCAGTGTTATTTCCTCAGACCCAGCCCTGCACGCCTCCGTTTCAGTGGTCTCAAGTGTTGTACAGGGCCAGGCCTGGGGCCCACAGGCACGGGCTGGAGCCCCCTCCGGCCCTCGCCGGGCTGCCTCAGTGAGCTGAGGGGAACTTCTTGTCGTCTCGTTTTTCTGTGTGATGAAATACAGCTGAGCGAGCCAGCACCAAAGCAACACGCGTGCGCCTTCTTACTCCCTCCATGCCGACCACTCCCCAGTCCCCTCCAGTGGAAGTGGGGCTGAACACTAACACAGGGTGGGTGAGACCAGGGAAGTATTGGGGTGGTTTACACCAACCGAACAACCCCTTCCCAAGGAAAGTTGTGCATGGTGATGCCCAACACCATTACCACCACCCAGAGTAGACCAAGAGCTGCTGCCAGCTCAGAGCCACTCACCACCGCAGGTCCCTCTTGACTGCAGGGGTGACACTACCTGCTGTGGTCGAGCCCACCAGGTCTGCATGCACCCAGGAGACCCACATGCTAAGAGCAAAGAGCACTGTGGGCTGCAGCTTTGCTGCCCGGTGCAGAGGCTGGAGCACTCTGCCAGCTCCATGGCAGCATTTTGCCCCAGGGGACCCCAGGGCAGATGGGGAGCAGCAGCAGTTGAGGGCAGGAGACAGGCTGGTTGTGTTACAGAAAAAAACTTTTATTGAGTTCAGGAGGCTGAGAACTTTCTCAGCGTGATGACGACCAAGGCCACAAGCACAGACGTACCCAGGAGGGAGGCGATGACAATGGCACCGATAGCTCCGGGCCCCAGTGAGCCTGCAGGGACAGAGAACAAGGTGGCATGAGGTCAGCAGAGCCGGTGGGTCCCAGACAAGGAGGGCTACAGGGATCAGCCAGCACATCCCCAGCCACCAGGGCACATTCCTGCCCCAGAGCTCCCTGTGCTGGCCTTAGGGGCCCTGTTCCCATGTCCCCACACAGCTGAGGTGTGGTCCTGTGCCCCAGTGGCATCGACCCCTTGTGCAGGGTGCTGGAGCCAGCCACTTGCCCCTTAGCCAGCTCCCAGTGACGAGAACAGGGAAGGTGCTCATGCTCCCCCTTTTAAGAGCTTCAGGGACAGTCTCGCCCTGGAGCCTACCTGGGCTTGAGGCACTTCTTGCTGGTGCCTGCAGTGATGTGCCAGACCCGGGGCAGGAGGAATGCCCTGGCAGCCCCGTGCCAGAGCAGCACGGCTGAGGAGAGGCCACCTCTGGTAGTTCAAACATGAACATGGGTGACAGGCCCATAAAAAGCAACTCCACAGCGAGGACTTGCCAGGCGTCTGTGGGAACGACCTGCGCAGTCACATACCGTCCCCGGCATCCAGCCGGTGCAGGTGGGTGGTGTCCTCGGGCTCCAGCTCGGAGGTGTACGGGGGGAAGGTGGTAGCATCCGAGAGCCGGGCTGTGGTGGTGGCAGCGTCGAAGGGGCCAGCTCCAGAGGGCAGCTCGGGTGGCTCGTTCCAGAGGGTGGGGACCGGGCCCTGCGGATACTCTGCTGGGAGACACGGGCCAGCCACGGCGCAGCAAGGGACCTGGGCTCTGGCTGCCTGCCGAGTGCCCCAGGGTGGATGGAGGGTGACCTGAGGGCTGAGAACCCCCCCAGGGCAGAGCCCTCCTCTGAGAGGGCACCACCTCCGCAGAGCACCAACACCCAGAGCAGCCAATGGCAATGCCCATGCCCCGGGGTGAAACCACACTGCCATGGGCTTTTGTGGCAACCTGGTGCACATGCAGGACAACAGGGAGCTCCCCACAATGGTGCGACCTCTGCTTTTGCACCAACAGGCCCTGCACAAACATCCAGGGCCAGTTTGCTTGTGGATGCCCATGGGAGGGGCTGTCACATTCCTGCAACAGGCAGAGGCCACCTGCACTGGCCAGAGCCACAGCATCTCAGGCCCTTTCTGTCCCGCACCACCAGCCCACGTGGCGTAGGATGCTGGTGGCACTGGCACTGCACAGGACACGGCTCCCCCATGTAGGAGCCCCAGAGCCTCGACTTCCCTCTGCCTCACCTCCCCACTGTGCTGGGGAGATGAAAGCCGGGCCAGGCTCTGTTTGATGTTACCGTTCACCTCCTGTTAATTTTTCCCCCTGTGGGGTCGGGGACCAAACCAGAGAGCCCTCCCTGTCTGCGTGTGGCTGAGCCGAGCACTCCGCGTCAATGCCCGTCTTGTTCGGGTGGGCCCCGGCGGGAGCAGGAGACATTCCACAGCTCCCTGCCGAAACCACTGGGAATGTCCCACTGGGACGGGAAAAAGAAAAAAAAAAAAAAAAAAAAAGGGGGGGGCCCAAAAATC